GCTCACAGAGAAAATAAATGTGATAACGAATACATATATGTTCATGTATAACTGAAAAATTGTGCTCTACACTGGAATTTGACACAACACTGTAAAATTATTATAAATCAATAAAAAATGTTTAAAAAAAAACAAAACAACAAATGTGTACATTCTTTTTTTTTCTTTTCCTGGAGGTTGCTCCCAGCCATGTTTCTGGACCTCCTGAAAAACACACTCTCTCTCTCCTCCACTCTTTTATACTGGGTTCCTTACCTGGACCACAGAACAAAGAATACGATCAGAGTGACTATCTTCTCAGTTCTCCTCAAGAGTATACAGAGCTAGCACCATTCCAGATGCACTGGAGAAAAGTTAATATGTTACACATACAATGGGTGCCTAATGGCATTAGGGTTTAATTCTCTCATGAAAATCCAGTTGAGAAAAGCTCCTCTACCATAAGTAGTCATTTTGTAGAAAATTGGTGGAGCACTAGGTATTGAGAAATCACTGAATTAAGGAAGTGACATGGTCAAATTTGCATTTTGGTCAGATCATTCTAACAGAAGAAGAGACGCTGTATTTGGCCAAGAGAAGGCTGGAGGTAAGAAGGTTAGTGGGGAATCTCTTCCCAGGCTATGAAGGAGACAACAGAAATGGAGATGCCCACCAGAGCTAGCAAATATGAAGTGAGAAACCAAGACAGGTTGCAGGGGTAAGTCCAGCCCTTCAGCCCTATATGTTGCTCTCTCCTGATAGTTTTGTACAGTTATATTCACAAAGTGATAAAATGTATGATTCTTTATTAAAAGTATTATGAAAAGAACTAAATGCTAGTGCTAGTAATGAAGAGAAAGTGAAGAAAACCAAGAAAGTAGCCGCTCTTAGCTGGAAAAAGAAGTTTTTCCATTATTCCATGTGAAAGCAGAATGCCCTGTCTTCATAGAATCAATAAAGCTCTTTTTGTATATAAAGTTATACTTTACTTTGATTAGGGAAATTATATGCTATAGTGATATTTGCTAATTTGGGGATCTGAGAAGGTCTTACCTTGTGGGGTGTTACACAGGAGAGGAATTAAATTAGAAACACTGAGAAGATAAAGTTACAAGGAAGTAGATTTCAATTAAGTTAGTTCCTTTTAATTAGAGCTGTCCTATATTTAAATGGGTTCTCTTCAGAGGTTATGAGTTCCCCTGTACCATCCTCTGGATGACCAGCTATAAGGCATGTTGCAGAAGAGTTTCCTAGACTGTAAGAAGATGTTGTTGAAAAGTCAGACTGGATGACTTCTACAATGCCTTCTAAGTCAAAGATGATATAATTCTCACTCTGGGCTTCAGTTTCCTCACCTGCAAATTAAAGGCACTAAGCTGGATGACCTTTACGAAGTTCTAAAATTCCTGGATTTGCTTCTGCCTCAGCTGCCATAACTTCCTCACTTGGC